CTGAACCAGCCGGTTTGAGCAGTCCGTGAAAATTTACCTTCAGGCTGATGTCACATTGAGCGGTTTATGCGGCAGCGGAACAAAATTCAACCAATCACGAAGTATTTTTATATTTTCTGCACAATATCTGTTTCTATTAATACTTTACAATTGGTTGAATTTTGTTCCGCTGCCGTATGAACCGCTCAATGTGACATCAGCCTAATTCAGTGAATTTTCCCATCGCGGTACTTTGTTATCTAGTGATTTTATTCACGCGGAATCTGAATAAGCGGAATTGTGAAAAGTGAAACTTTTTGCTCAATATTACATGATCGCCGTGTGAGTAATTTTACACAATTTTACAGTTGAGAGGCAGCCAATGAATCGAATTCACAAAATCGACTCTGGCGATTTGATTCTTGAGTGCGAAAAAGGATCGATTCTCGATGTATTAAATCAGAATTTTTCACTAGTATCTTGTGTGTACGGTTTACAGTGTACGGACTACGGTGGCTCCCGCACAAACGGACGAGGAAAACTGTCGAACATCGTTGTCGGGATCGCCGTTTCTTGTCGAGAATTCGTCATTTATGTCTTATCGAGACGATCCCAGGAAACCAGGCGTTTAATCGGATCTAAGGACGCAGCGTAGCACTCGAGTGAGTCAGTCGAGTAAGTAACCTTCGACGTCGTTTTCGCTGTAGCCGCAACCACAGTCATCGCTAAGGATGACCCGCGCGCAAATTCGCATTGATAACCACAAATCGGAATGTGTTAAATCGATCAGCGAATTCGTCGGAAGCTTGGGGGGACCCGGCGGTAATTGATCGTGATGTGAGTACGGATTTGCGGAGAGTCGACGGGACGACGATCCATCGATCCGATCGTATTTCTCCGCCAATCGACATTAGATCGCATTGCGCGAAATAAATATGGAGGCGGTATGTAAGAGTGTGTGTAGGTATGTATGCATGTGTGTAGGTACGTGCGTACGTGTGCGTATGTTTGATGCTTTGACGGATGAAAAAACAAAACTTTACTTACCATGTGCAATGACGTTCTATATTTAGCTTATAATAAGAAGTAAGAATACTGATGGATCATATATAACACACACCACATCACACCACACACCACACCACACCACACCACACCACATCACACCACATCACACCACATCATCACCATCATCATCATCATCACCACTCATACATCATACATA